ATGCCTTTTCCATATAGATAACGCCTCCCCGTCGAACCTCGAGGCTAATCGAAAGGGCGAGCCGAGCGTTCCGCCTGAGACTTCCTTACAATGTATGACCCTGAAGCTTGAAAATTGCAACAATTTCATGGATGGAGGGCGGTCCGCTTTCAAAATGTGGCTCTCGCCGTAGCCCCGCGCACATTCACGGTTTGAGGGCGGGTCGTTTTCCAAATGTGGCTCTCGCCTTGGCGCCGTGCACAATCGACTTCAAACGTTGCAAGAATTTCACGGATGAAGGGAGGTTCCTTGTCAAAATAGAGCTCTCCCCTGAGCCCTGCGCGCACTCGTCTTAAAAGTTAGAAAAGGTTTCACGAATGAAGGGCGGCTCCTTTTCAAAATGCGGCTCTCGCTTTAGCGCTGCGCACACTCGACTTGAAAGTCTGCACTGATACAGGGCGGCTCCTTTTCAAAATGTAGCGCCGCGCACATTCGTCTTAAGCGAATGCAGCACTTTCATATATTCTCATGGCTGACGTTCACGAAATAATGTATTGCCAAAATGTCGGAATGTCAAGGCGCAACAGTCACGCCCATTCGCCGTGTTGAACTCCCAAGAATGGTGTTCCGGCACGGTTCAGGATCGTCGAGACGCAACAATAACTCTCGCGTCGTTGAAATCCCAGGAATGGCGTTCAAGCACACTTCAGGACTTTGGGACTGTTGTCTTCCAACAGGGCATTCCCCTCGGTGACAATGAATCCGTGTAGGAGCCTATACGGAGGGAACTTGGAGGGAGGGTTTACTGCAATATCGTCGATGAGTCTTGGGATTACAATGGTCCTCTTCCTCCTCCTCCTCCTCACCATCACCATCATCATCATCATCATCATCATCATCATCATCATCATCATCATCAAAGTCCAAATCACCACCATCATCACCATCATCATCATCATCAGCATCATCAGCAGCATCATCAGCATCATCATAATCATCATCAGCATCACTGTCAACACTTCAACAATCATCGTCATCACCATCATCATCAATTTCACCACCAGCATCATAATCATCGTTGCCATCACCCTCGCCATATTGTTGCACAACTTTACGCTTTTTGGTCTTGAGGTTCGAGGAGGCCCCGAGCGGGAGCCACATGTTGTAAAAGGAGCCGCCCTCCCCCCGCGCACCTGCTGCGTGTGCCTATGAGCTTGCAGGCTCACACGGATAAGGAAGCCTCAAGGGATGGCACCACTCTGAGAAGGAGCCGCTCTCCATCGTGTAGCAGCTGGGCCGAAAGAGACGAAGGTGCGCGGCGCTGAGACGACAGCCCGGCTTGGAGAAGGCCGCCATCCGTCCCTGCCATGGATGCCAGCGCTGGCCCGACTGTGCGCGACGCCACAGCGAGAGCCCCGCTTTGGACAGGGAGCCGTCCTCTGCCTTGCAACGTGTCTTTCCGCCGGCGGCGGGGCAGAACGGCTGCACCAGCGACAGAGCTCAACGGGGGCACCGATAAGCGAAGTGGCCAGCGTGCAGGAGGAGGAGGGCGGACGGACAGGGCGGCCGCGACGGAGCTCCACCTCGCAGCGTCTAAAACCGCTGGGACGGATGTGAGCAACGCTGCGACGAGAGCCCCATCTCGAGGAGGGGCAGTCCTACATCTCCTCCCTCCTCCTCCTCCTCCTCTCCCTGCCCCTCCTCCTCCTCCTCCTCCTCCTCCTCCACCTTCTCCTCCTCATCATCATCATCCTCCTCATCCTCCTCCTACATCCCCGAACTGATGAACGCGTTCGCAGAGAGAGCGCGCGGCGCTGGGGCGAGATTCCCATGCTTGAAAAAGACGGTAACCCACCATAGCAGCAGGTGCAAAATTCGAGCACGAATAAGCGCGGCGCCAAGGCGAGAGCTCCGCTTTGACAAGCGGGTCCCTCTCCATCCCTGCAGCTGTTGCAAGCTTAAATACCACTGAGCGTACCGCTAAGGCGAGAACCTCGTTCTGAAAACGACCTGCACTCCATCCTTGTAACTGCTGCGACCTTCGAGCCTCAGGATCACAAGAAGCGAAGAACTCTTAAGCGAGATGCCTGGCCCGCCCAGCCGACATGTCTAGGGGTGCGACAAGAAGGAGTCGTCTAGAAGGAGAGGGAATGGAGGAGCTCCGAGAGGACCGAGCCAGAGCGCGGCTGATTGTGGACAAACGTTGGGAGTCACTGGAAAATCGCTGTTCTGGATGTTCCGAGCGCGCTGCGTCGGCCGCTCGTCAAGCAGTCGACATTGGCGCACCCAGGGCCCCTCTTTTTTGGTAGGTGGATATCTCCAGCTCTCCGCCGCCTCTGGCGGTGTGCGTTGCGAGCAGGAACACGCCGAAGTCACAGGAAAGCGCGGCATTGACACTGTAGCTCCGCACACGTGACAAATGTTAACGAGCAGGAACACAACAAAGCCCGTGTCAGTGTTGAGCTACACTGTCAATGCCTCGCTCTCCTCCCCTTCTTCCCTCTCGCGGCAGTTAAAAAAAGCTCACCCCAGAAACAAGCTGCCCTTCTGGGGGTGCGGAGCATCCGAAAAGCGCCAAAACCAAAAAACACGTCAATTCTCCAATTATTAGCGACACAAAGAATCAGCCACGCTCCGGCTCGATCATCTCGGAACTCCTCCTCCTCCTCCTCCTCCTCCTCCTCTCCTTCCTCTCCTCCTCTCCTTCCTCCTCCTCCTTCCTCCTCTCTCCTCCTCCTCCTCCTCCTCCTCTCCTCCTCCTGCTCCTCCTCCTCTCCTCCTCCGTCCTCCCTCCTCACACCTCCTCCTTTTCCCCCCTCCTCCTCCTCCTCCTCCTCCTCCCTCCTCCTCCTCCTCCTCCTCCTCCTCTCCTCCTCCTCATCCTGCCTGCCTCCTCCTCCTCTTCCTCCTCCTCGATTTCCCCGCTCCTCCTCCTCCCCCTCCTCCTCCTGCTCCTCCTCCTCCTCCTCCTCCTCTGCCTCCTCCTTTTCTTCCTCCTCCTCCTCCTCCTCCTCCTCCTCCTCCTCCTCCTCCTCTTGGAGGGTGAACCAGGAGAGATGAAGAGGAGGAGGAGGGGGAGGAGGACCAGTGCAAACCCAAGACTCATCAACGATATTGGAATAAGTCCTCGTAGCAGTCTCCCTCTTCAGAAGCCCCCACCAGGATTCATTTCAACCCAAGGGGGTGTCCCGTTGGGAGGCAGCCGCTTGAAGATCCGAAGCGCGCCAAAACACCAATCCCGGAACTCTAACGCCACGAATCGACGTGACTGCTGCGTCGTGACGATCCTGCGTGCCAGAGCAACATTCCTGGGACTCCAACACCGCACACCAACGTAACTGCCGACCCTTGACAACCTTGAACCGGTGCAGAGGACAATTTCTGTTACGCTGACCATGGGAAATGTGAAACCCTTGCAATGTCTTACAACGAATGTGCGCGGCGCCACAGCGAGAACCACATGTTGAACCTAAACCGCCCTAAATCCTTGAAGCTCTTGCAAAACCTCAAAACGATTGCGCGCCCTAAACGAGAACCACATTTTGAAATCGACCTTCCCTCAATCCGCGAAAATATTGCAATTTTCGTTTAACGAATGTGCACGGCATTCAAACGGTAACCATGTTTGAAGACGGCCCGCCCACGATTCGTGAAAAGCCTGGTTGCTTAGAATGTGTGTCGTGTTTGTTGTTTGTTTTTGTGTGCGCGGCGCAAAAGCAAGAGCCACACTTTGAAAACCACCCGCCCTCAATCCGTGAAATGTCTGCAAAGTTTTACCATGAATGCGCGCGGCGTTGAAGCGAGAGCCACATTTTGAAAAACGCCCGCACACCATCAGCTGCCAATTCCAAATTTCAGGATCATGGAAATTTCATGAATGGTAAAAATATCAGACGAAACGCCCGGCCCGTCCTTCCCGCACTTCCGACTGGCCTCGGGGGGCGACGGAGAAGTTATTGTTAAGGGAAAAGAATGGAGGAGGAGGAGGAGGAGAAGGAGGAAAAGGAGGAGGAGGAGGAGGACGAGGAGGAAAAGGAGGAGGGGGGGAGGGGGAGGAGAAGGAGAAGGGCGGTGACAACAACGACGCCACAGCTGGGTCCCCCTCGACATTCTGCTCAAAACGTCAAAAACGCACCCTTCGAGGGGTCTGGAGGCCGATTCTGACTGAGAACAAAAAAGACAAGCAGGAGGAGAAGGAGGAGGAGGAAGAGGAATTCGCTGGAATTCGCTTGAATCCACGAGGCGGAAGCGAATTGGCCAACGAGGTCCCCAGGCGGCGGCCCACGGAGGACGGCCTCCCGCCTGACCATACCCAGCCCCCTGGCCAGAGACGCCTTGGGCGGACCCTGGCGGCTGGGAAACAACCCCTCTGAATTCTCTGGAGGTTTTCAAGACTGTTCTTGCTGCGGGTCGCGCACTCCAAGACACAAGATGGCGCGGGCCCCCCGCGGGAATTCTACCACGCGCCAAACAGAAATGCAGCCCACACTTGGGCCAGCAGCGTAAATTATAGGACGCGTGACATTCTTTCCCCCCCACCGTCACCGCCCCACTCGCCCGCACCACCCCAAATTCGGCCAGACTCGAACGGCCTTGGGCCGCGGCAACGCACGCAGTGGAGCATAACTCCGCCACGTGTGACGCTGGGACCACAGTGTGGCAGAGAGAGCACAGCCATATCCGTTCGGCCCGAGCCAAACAGTGCTCGCTCCAGCAAAGGGACCCCAAACGGCCCTCGGGAACCCGACGGGCTTCGGGAGGCCGAACCGAAGACCAGGGCGCAACACTGATGGAGTCCACCATCGCTCTGGCCGCTCTGCGCCTAACCAACGCAGCAGTACAGTCCCAAACGTCAGTGTCGGGGGGTCTCTGGCCCTGCATGCCATGGGTCCAGGAAAGCTGGACCGCTTCTCCCGCGAGAACGTCGGCGAAAACGTTACCCGTGGCGTGCAAACGCTCTTGGTCATCAGCATCCACGTGCGACGGGCACCACACAACCTGGACCTCTCCCCCCCTTCCTTTCAGAGAGAACCGCACGGACGCGAAACCACAGGTCTGAGTTGGGGTCCCTGCAGTTAACGCGCCTTCCGGTAAACCACCCTTCTGAGCAGGGCAACATCGTCCGCGACGAAACGCACCTGCCCGTGAAACCTCTTGAGTGCGAGTTCGAACGCACGGATCTCGGCTATAGGAACCGTCTGACGGCGACCCCCCCAGGGTCGTGGCGCACCCGCGGGCCCGACGCCAGCCCCCTGGGGCCGCAGCCGGAATGATCGCAGCCGCGCCCACACGTCGGCGACGATGGTCACTGCTGAAGAGCCCACCCGAGCCGTCTCCGAAAACTAAAAAGAAGCCGTCATCAAGCACGAGATCGAGCAACTCTTCCGCACCACCAACAGCCTCCCACTCCACGTCCCCACCCACATCACGAAAGTCAGGACATGTGAAGCAGCGCGGCGGGGGCCCGCGCAACCAGAGACTCGGGTTGGCCTCGTGGCCCGCCCCGGCCTGGGAAACTAAATCCTCGGACTCCTCGCACGAAGGGTCCCCACGGTTGCTGGAGCGTTCCCAAACCCGGTGAAACAGGGACTCCTCGGGGGTTCCGGACCGCGGGCACTTGGGTGAGACCGCGTACCCCTGGGCGAGCTGGCGTCGATGGGGCCACTGGCCGCATGCAGCCACAGTGACCATCTGCCCTGCGAGGTCAAACGCAAATCTTTGAAGAAACCTGTGGAGCTGAGACCCAAGCATGACAACGTCGGCCCCCAACGCGAGATCCTCACCATGAGGGTGCTTCGACGCCTGCGCCCACAGCTGAGACTTGAGGTCCTCGGCGAAATTACTGACAAGTTCGGCGATGTCAAAATCGCCAGCAACTCGGTACACTTCAATGTCGGGAGGCTGCCAAGTTTCAAACGCGTCTGGCCCGACAGGCATCCTCCACTACGCGGGGGAAACAAGTCGCCACCCCGCGCCTCTCAAGGTGGCGATGACAACCCCAATGGGGCCACGCACTTTCTTCCACCAAAACTTGGGTTCGTGCCCGAGACGCGCGGCCACCAATCGTCTCAAGCCTTGCAAATCCTAGGATGGAGGGCGGGCACTTGTCCCAAAGATCAAACCATGTGCGGACCAGTTGTCCTTAAACTCACTCCTGGGTCTTTGCTTTCGTACCAAATCGCCAAGGTGGTAGTGAGACACAACCGCTTGGGTTGCCTGTCTCCTGAGCTGCAAAATAAAGGATGGGGAGAGTCCCATGGCCTGGTGTCCGTACACCGACTGCGGCAGGACTCCCTGGAGCCAAAGAGCGTGGGACGCCTTGACCAACGGAGCAAGCCAACGAAGTTCATTGATTCTGAAACCCCTGGAGCAGCCCTTTTCTCAAACGCTGCCTTAATTTGACACAAGTCCGACGAGCCACCCCAACCACATCACACCCCAAGCCGACCGTACACCGCATCTCCAGGTTGTTCAGAACACCAACTAGCTCAGGTCCCTGACGGGGGTTATTAACGACCAGCTTGGTCTTGGATGAGATCGAGAGCTCATGCTCAGCAAACGACCGCACAAACGAGCCCGCGAGCCTCGACATCTGACCGACAACTATCTCCCCTCGGACCGAGCAACGGTGTCATCTACAAAAGTGCAGACGGCCGAAGAGGCCTTGGCCAGGGTGAAAGCCAGTTTTTTGTTGGCCTCTTCCCGAAGGGGTCCCAGGAAAAGGTTGGTCAGGGAAACTACTCTGGACGACCCCGCGACCAGGGACCACGTGGGAAAGACAAAATCACTGGCCATCTCGCGAGATTTCAAAACCCTCGGAGCAAGAAACATCTGGATCTCCAGCAGGGCCACAATGGTAGGATAACCCTGGTCCATCGAGATCTGCGAAAACGTCCAAATATTGTTGTTATCACGAAAACTTTCCAGACCTAACAGCAGCACGGCCACGGAAATCCAAGCTCATGCGCTGCTTCGTCCATGACAGCCCTCTGCAGGGCTGCACGCAGGGCCGACGACTGCTTCACCGCCGTGTCCCAGAAGTCGTTCCTGCCGTCGGCCCAGCGGTCCGTGCCTCCAGACCGCGCACTGGACCATAAGCCCATGATCTTCGGGGGGAGGGGGAGGAGGAGGAGGAGGAGGAGGAGGAGGAGGAGGAGGAGGAAGAGGAGAAGGAGGAGGAAGCCTCCTCGAGATTCGAAGTTCGAGATTGGAGAAACAAGGGCCAACGTTTCCAGGTGTTTTTGATTACCTTTTCTGAGCCTCGAGGGCCTCCGGGCGCCTCTGGACGCCGCCAGGGAAACTCTCGCAGGAAGAAGGATAAGGAGAACGAGGAGAGGGGAGTGGGAGGAAGGCGAGGAGGAGGAGGAGGAGGAGGAGGAGGAGGAGTAGGGACAGGAGGTGGAGGGGGAAGGGGAGGGGGAGGGGGAGGCGGAGGGGCCGGGAAAGAGGGAACCAAAGAAAACTAAAGATCGATCAAAGATACTACAACACATCCTCCCGTCCCAAATCACCCCACTCATCAGTCACTACAACTGTTCTTTTTCGCTGCGGGAAGCGCCTCCTGGAAAGACTGAGGCCCCATGGGCCCGGCCCGTAGTTCAGGCGGGAGCCTCGTCGTCAAACAAAATGCCACCATTCATCAAGCTTGAGCAAAAAAAAATCATAAAAACGTTCCACGCCAGAGGAGCTTCCCATCATCCGCCACCGTGCGATGTTCACGTTGAGGCGTGGACGAATGCCAAGGTCTGCCTGGCCAGGCTTCCGTAATTTTCTCAGAGAATCCACCTTTCCTGGCCTCACTTCGTTGCGCGCACCGACTCCTCTTCCCGAGGCCATATCTCGGGAAATACTACAGATTCGCGCTCCCGAGGCCAAGATGCATCCAAGACAGCCCAATATCGCTCCAAGACGGGCCACGTTGGCTTCAAGAAGGCCCAAGATAGCTTCAAGACGGCCCGCGAGGCCGTCGAGGCGTCCCAAGAGAGCCCCAAGAGCCTTCTCAAGAGGGCTTCGAGAGGTAGACATCTGTGATTTTCCATAGCTGTTGCCACGTTGCTCGGGTTCTCGTCTTGTCGTGCTTCCGACGTTCCAAGACGACCCGAGAGGCCACCAGGACTTCCCCAAGAGGGCCCAAGAGGCCCCCGAGGCTCTCCCAAGACGGCCCACGAGGCCCCCAACAGGGCCCCACGACGGCCCAAGAGGGCTCCAAGAAGGCCCAAGAAGCGCCCCAGAATTCCAGACCCCGGATGGCCCAAGGAATCGCCCTACAGGGTGAACACGAACCGACAATTCGAGCCTTCCACCCGAAGAGAGCCCGGGAGGCCCCAGGAGGGCCAAGAGAGGCCCTCAAGAAGCCCCCCAAGAGAGCCCCGAGAGGCAAACAATGTTGATTGTCCTCAGCTTTTTCAATGAGTTTGGGGTTCTCGCCTTTTCGAGCTCCCGACGATCCAAGGCGGCCCAAGAGGCCCCCAAGGCTCTCCCGAGACGGCTCAAGAGGCCCCAAAGAGAGCTCCACGACGGCCAAAGAGGGCTCCAAGACGGCCCAAGAGGCGCCCACGACTGCCCAAGAGGGCCCCAAGACGGCCCCAAGAAGGGCCGAAGAGTGGGAACACGAACCCAGAATACGAGCATTCTGCCCCAAGAGGCCCCCAGCAAGCCCATTTGCCTTCTCGAATAGTTGCCACCCAAAATGCTACGCTGGCACTGCGACGGAATTGCCGGAAGCACCTGGATACGAGGCGACAGACATTGAGTACGTCTCAAGCAGCCGCGATTTGAAAAGGAACTGCCATCAATCCGCGTGGCCGTTGAGGCGGTCTCATGCGAGAGACGCATTGAAAAACGGATTGTTCTTAGATCCGTGTGACAGCTGGAAATGTTAAAACGAATGTGCGCGCACCAAGGCAATAATCCACTTAAAACAAAAATCGTGCTATCTTGATCCGTGGAAATGCTGGATGCTTTCGCTGTTGTGCGCGTACAAAAAAAAACACAAACATGTGCGCGGCGCCAAGGCGAACGCGGTGCTTTGAACATGAGCCGCCCTCAATCCGATGATTGTCGCAAAGTTATGACACATGCTGGCAAGTGTTGAAAACGAGTCGCCCTCGATCCATGCAAGCGTTCCAATGTGTATACGCCTGTGAGATGCTGATAAGCGAAACCTGCAGTTTGAAAAGGAGCCGCCCCCGACCGCGTCCCTGTTTCACATCAGTGAACTGTTGGTGATGAGAGTTCAGGAAGTGTCTAGCGAGAGGCGCGTTTTGAAAATGACTCGCCCTCGTTTCGTGTGACAGCTGGGAATGTTTGAAGCGAGTGCGCGCGGAACCAAGGCGAGATTCCCATGGTTGTGACCACCCACCCTCGACCGGGTTATATACTGGAAGCGTGAAGCTTCAACAATGTAACCGGTGAAGAAATATCACGCGAAGCACCCGGATCGCCCTGACCACACGCCTAGTGGTGCGACTGGGAGAAGGTCCTCATAAGAAAGACGGATGGACGCGGAGGAGAACGGGGATGAGGAGAGAAGGAGGAGAAAGAGGAAGATGAGAGGAAGGAGAGAAGGAGGAGAAAGAGGAAGGAGGAGAGAAGGAGGAGAGAAGGAGGAGAGAAGGATGAGGAGAGAAGGAGGAGAAAGAGGAAGATGAGGGGGAGGGGGACGGGAAGGAGGGGAGGAGGAGCGGGCGGAGAGGCGAAGACGCCGTGCGGCCCGGCGGCTCCTCACAGGCTAGCGTGGTACTCCTTGATGATGTCGGTGACCTCTCGGGCGGTGGGGCGTGGCGGGCGGGCCAGCCCGGACCACAAAGGAGGCTCGAGGACCCGGGCTCGAGGATCCGGGGTCGAGGCCCCTGGGCGGCGCGGGCCCTTCCTGGAGCTCCGCCGAGAGCCTCCCGCAGAGGCCCCCATCATGGACCGCGGCGGCCCTCGGGCGACCCCCAGGCGCCCCACTGGCCCGCAGAGAGGAGGAGGAGGAGGAGGAGGAGGAGGAGGAGGAGGACGATGAGGAGGAGGAGGAGGAGGAGGAGGACGAGGAGGAGGAGGAGGAGGAGGAGGAGGAGAGGAGGAGGAGGGTGGGGCGGGGGCGTTAGAGGCCTCCTAGATGGGGGCCGAGTAGATGGGGTCGGTGCATCGGCGATGCCTCGGCGATGCCTCGGCGACGTCGGCAATGCATCGGCGATGTCGGCATAGAGAAAAATCGGGCACACCTGGGCGCGGCCACAGGGCTCCACTAGAGGCCTCCTAGATGGGGTCCGAGTAGATGGGGTCAGAGGATCGAGCCGCATCGGTGTTGAATCGCCGTTGCATCGCCGATGCATCTGCGATGCATCGGCGACGTCGGCGATGCTTCGGAGCCGTCGGCGTGGAGAAAACTCGGGTTCCGCATCGAGCCGCATCGTCGATGCATCGGCGATGCGGCCCGATCCTCCGATGCCACCTGCGCGGACCCGATTTGAGCGACGAAAAGAAGCAGGTCTTACGCGATATGACACAAAGACCTTACATAGTGGCTTACGCGGGCCGCCAGCGCGGCACGCCACATCGGAGGCGAGAGCGCTTACGCGCGACCTCACGCGGGCAGCTTACGCGCCAACGTCGGTGAAGACGACCCAATTCTTGGGCCAGAACATCTGTCGCGAGGTCGCCGCGGACGGGAGAGCGAAGGAAGGGGAACACTACGACAGGGAGGGCGAGGAAGAGCCCAGATCTCTGGCAACATGATTGTTGCAGGGCGGCTGTCTGTCCTCGAATTCGGCCTCTCGGGCGCGTCGTCGGGCCCCATGGGGCCCATCAAGAACAGATCCAGAACGAAAAACTACTCCTCCTCCTCCTCCTCCTCCTCCTCCTCCTCCTCATCCTCCTCCTCATCCTCCACCTCATCGTCCTCCTCCTCCTCCCCAGGGACCTCTGGGGCCGCGCATTGTTAAAATTAACCTGGCGAAGAACCCAACACTCATCAGCTGCGAGGCCCTCTACTCTACCGTACTCATAGGCCGCCGCGGCAACTGTGGAGCCGCGGGCAATGCGGATGGGGGCCACGACTCGCGTGAGGGATGTGGTGTGCCGAATGGGCTGGGTGGCGTCATGCGGTCGCAGCCACTGGGGCCCTCGTTGGGGCTCTCTGGGGGCCACGAAACGTGTGAGAGTGTGCCGAAGTGGGCGGGTTGGCGCCATGCGGACGCAACCACTGGGGCCCCTCGGTGGAGCTCCCTTGCGGCCACGAAACATATCACGAGAAATCCGCCGACGCAGACGGCGTGTGTGAGAGGCTCTTCGACGCGAGGCCAGCCCAACCCAAACTGAAGTACGCCAGCCTCCTTTGAATCGTCGTCGTAAGGGGGACCGAACAAATAAGCGGGATCAAACAATGTCGCACTGACGTCGAAGGAAGCCCCTTCCCTTTGTTCCTTACCCGCCGAGAGGGGGGCGGTCCTGGGGGGGCCCAGAGGGATCACAAAAGAGGTCTGAGGAGGGGTCCCAGGAGGAAGTTCCGGGGGGGGGCTCCCACGGGGGGGGGGGTTCTGGGGGTCGTGACCCCCGCCTCGGGCGGTCCCCACTGAACAAGAAGGATAATTAGGGGATTGTCTCCATGTCGGCAGTGGAACTCAGGACCCCTCCCCCCGCCTCTGCCCCGGCCCCAGCCCCGGCCCCAGCCCCGGCCCCAACCCCCAGCCCCAGCCCTGGACTGGACCCCAGCCCGGGACGAAGCCCTGGCCCTGGCCCTAGGCAGCGGCCCCTGCCCCGGCCCCAGCCCCAGCCCCAGCACCAGGCCCTGGCCCCGACATCTTCCGTAAGCGTCTTGTACCTCGTAATCTGAATGTTCAGGAAGTTATTCAGAATATCTCAGCCAGTGATGCAGCTATGAATCGCATTCTCCAGAAGTGGTGTTTCTCTCAGAATACGGGCAAGAAAGACATTATACCACATCTTGGCTCCACCCTAACTAAACGACAATTGCAAGAACTTTGTCCTGCTAAACACGGCGCAGTTAAAGCACATGCACGGCATCTAGGCGCACGCTACACGATGAAAGGGAACAACGGTGTGGAGGTGGAGCTACGTATCCAGGGGATGAGAGGAGGGTGGAGTATGATGGGTCTCTTCTGGCATGAAAGGGGACTACGACGACTTAAGCGGGAACTCTATCTCAGCACTGTCGTGGAAAAGGGCCTTACGGGGCTCGAGGCGTTCGTTCTCACCTCGTCGGAGCACGCTCGTATCGACGTTATCATCGTCCGCTACCTTCGTGTACTGATGAAAGGCTCGGCGACGAACTGGGAGGGATCCCACGCCGTATCGTTGAGCAACGACGAGGTCCTGCGTGAGTGGCGCATCCTGCCGAGCGCGGGCGAGCTCGCGGTTCGACGGGTTCGTTGGCTCCAGAGTATGGTTCAGCATAGGCACGCTCACGCTCAGACCGTCTCGGTCCTCTTAGGACACATCCTGAACGAGGAATCCACACTCACACCATCTGGCACATTAAGCAGCACGGCCAATCCGTGGATACGTCAGTTTGCTCG